GGTCTCTCCGGATCGTCTTCAACGCCTGATCATCCGATCCTATGGCGACTAACGCCAGTATCCCTCAGGGGTCCGTTCTCTCCGCAAGTCTCTTCCTGCTACGTATGCCCGGTATCTATGGGTATGCAGATGATAGCACAGTTGTGGAGAAATACCAACCAAGTCCTCGGGCCAGTCGGGATCAAATCCAGTCCGAAAGAGAAACTATGGTAGAGCGTGTGAATCTCACACTACAGGCAGTCTGCGAATGGGGCGGTGCCAATCTTGTGAAATTCAAAGCCTCCAAAACACAAGCGCGTCTCTTCACTGCAAAAAGGAGCTAGCTCACCTTGGCTCCTTCTTTCCGAACTTTCACTGGAATATACCGACCGCCTTCAGTTGTTAGGGTTTGAGATATCCTCAAATCTGAACTTCAGCCGGTTCATTGAGTTCAAGGCCAAAGCAGCTGCAAGGAAGCTGGGAGTCCTTGCAAAGTTGCGGCGTTACTTCATGCCGGGACAGCTGCTTACTTTATATAAAGCGCAAGTCTGGTTGTGCATGTGCACTAAACTTTATTACTATTTTATTTGTTTTCGTAGCGTTCAGGACACACCACTGCTTGGTGATCGGGACAAATACATTTATTGCAAGTCTTGCACCACTATTTTGTCGACCGATTTCGGGCTCTCAAGCAGAGTGCACATCAACCAACTCGTTCTATCTTTGAAGTCAAATCATGTTCAGACTCTTGTGGTTCTTGAACTGTGCTGCCCAAAAGTGCTTCTATCCTGAATTTAAATTGTAGTAGAAGTGTTTCAATTGATGCACGGCGAATCAAAAGCGGTTTTATCAAAATGAAGGACAATTTTTGCAAAAAGTTACGCCTGACATTTTCTTCGGCAGAGGTGTTCATTTGGTTGAATACCAGAGCGTTGATACCAACAATGTTTATCAAATCAAAAATTATGACTAGCGGCCATCGACGGCAATTACGCTGAACACCAACTGCTTGCATATTTTGTCTAGAATGTCTACACCAAATGTGGTGTAGACATTATGAGTAGAGATATACTACGAGAGAGAGTAGATTGAGTACGATTATAAAAAGTAATAATGCATTGTAGACAGAAAGTTGATTACTAGGGCCTGCAAGTCTGGTTCTGGCTGAACTTCATCATCTTCACTCTCAATCACTTTTTCATCTTCAGTATCGAGCTCATGGAGCCACCTTTCCACTTGTAAATAATTCATGATTTAATCCAATATATAAATCTGTAAAAATACTAAAATAAGAAAAAATATACATTTTACAAATTGTAGCCAATATATAAATAATAATAATTTAATATGCATACACATAAATACATTATTAATAAGTAAAGAATATTATAATAGCGTTATAAATCGATAATACACCAAAAGTTACATACCTGAATTTGGTACACTAATACCCGCGCGGACTACTTTAGTAGGCCCACGCTTTTGGCGCCAAATTGCTTGTGCATACGTACGTGCTGGATTCGCGCAGGGTACTGAGGTTGTGACAAATTTACCAGACGAGGCTTACCTGGAATCACTAGCTTCTAGCTCTCTAAACTAAAAAGTTATTGCAAAAAGAGTTACCCTGGTCTACTATAGTAGGCCGCGCGTGTACTCTAGTGTTAAATATTCTAAATCGTACGTGCTATTGTGTTTGACTACAAAGACTTCTTATGTAAATATGTACGGGGATATATTATAACAATTGGGCAGCGCTTGACATGTCAATCAAACTGACACCATATTGAAACCATGTTTAGTTTTTGATGAAGTCATGCAAACCTTTTAATACAGAGTCAAAGCCCTCTGGCCTTTTATTTTGCAGAAAATGTGAGTAGGATTTATTTATTTTTATTTAAAACTAGCTGCTCCCAGCGACTTCGCCCGCGTGTAATTTAGGGTTTTAATTATATTGCTCAGAACCCTAATTCTTTTTCTCAAATATAAGTAGCCTAAGTTACTCTTTAGAACATCAGCTATCTGTCAGTGAAGTCCCGTTGACATCAGTCCAGCCGTTTAGCCAGATTAGCCGGAACAAACAGACAGACAGACAGACAAAAATTTTAAAAATTGTGTTTTTGTTATAAGTACCGTATCTATACTTTCATATGCTTTTAGTAAAAAGCTGTTATTTTAACATTACAAACAGACACTTCAATTTTATTTATTTGTATGTATAGATGTATAGATATAGACTAGCGACCTGCCCCGGCTTTGCCTGGATAGGTTCCATTATAGAAGCTTTATTAAGATTTAAGATAATCAACAAAGACAATATTTCATTTAAAAAAAATATTATCAATTTTTTAATTAAAAAAAACCATCCAGGTTTTCCGATTAAATATAAATTCTTCCTGGCATTGCTCTCTATCTGTTCGTAAAGTTTCATAATAATCGATTTAGCTATTCATTATCCCGGACAGACAGACGGCTCGTCAACCGCATTCGGCTGCACTGCACCTAGTTGACTTAACATAGGTTTTTTTTTATAAAATAAAGTGACAAATGAGTACACAGTCTTTGTCGTGGTAGAACCATGCTGCAGCTATATTAGTAGTATAGTTGTAGCACAAATGGGTCGGCTCGACCGGGGAAGGCGTGGTCCTTCACAGAATACCAGATTAAAATTGCAGCTTAAAACTGCTGTGTTTCGTATGGTGAGTGCAGAGAACCGGAGACCCTCTTTACTTTAAAGGAGGCATTCCTTCTTAGTCCTCACGGGTGACAACGTATTTGCGTTTTGATTCGTAATCGACCACTTACCGTCAGGTGGACTGTGTGCTCGTTTATCACCCTTATCGTATAAAAAAAACAGTCCACATGATGGTAAGTGGACGCTGTGGCCCAAAGACATCTACATCCATACGTGATTAAGTATCAAAATGCAGATGCGTTGTCAGCCGTGAGGACTAAGATGGAATGCCTCGTTTTCAGTAAAATGGGTCTCCGGTTCTCTACACTCACCATACGAAACACAGCAGCATTAAGCTGCTATCTTACGCATTATTTTGGTTCGGCTTTTAGCCGTAATACATACATAGTCCGGTACGTCGGCGGCCCGCGTATACATTTTTTTTTATAGGATTAGGATGACAAACGAGCGCACAGTCCACCTGATGGTAAGTGGCTGCTGTGGCCCATAGACACCTACATTTATCCTCGATTACGAATCAAAATGCAGGTGCGTTTTCACCCGTGAGGCCTAAGATGGAATGCCTCGTTTCCAGTAAAAAAGGCCTCCGGTTCTCTACACCGACCATACGAAACACAGCAGCATTAACCTGCTGTTTTACGCTGGTATTCTGTGAGACAAATACAACAATTGCTCAAAGTACTTAATATGACATTACATTTACACATTTAATTAGCAATTGAGATAATAATTTATTGTGCTAAACTGGTTCGAACAAATAAAAAAAAAATCGCGATTGAGAAGACACTTGTGCCTAACATTGAGACGGTTACGTCATAGTGATTAAAGCAGGTTCGGAGTTATGAACCATTCGTTAGTCAGTAGAAAGCACCGCGTGTAGATCAAAGACGTTACTTTAAAAACATCTTAAGTGTAGATAAACTTTGAATTTGTAGAATTCGTAACACTAGCAAGGCGGCAAGGGTCTTTTGACCCGTATTTGAACTTGCAGCGCATTGGGTTATGTATATATTACTTCAATGTTGCAGCGCTGGTTATTTTGTCACTGTTTGTTTATACAGTTTTGTACTACGTGACTTTTAATAAATTACGATTGTTTTATAAACAAAAGTATTTACATTGTAATAAGTTTATACAAATATGAATAAAAATAAAATTCACATACAATGACGAATATATGAGAGTAGCTGAATGCATTGCTGTTGTGAGTATGATAATTATATTTACTTTAATTTTATTGCCTGATCTGGTTTCACATACATAAATATTTTAGTTTAAACGTACGTTCATTACGCGTTCTCATTGAGTTATTTTCGTTATTTTCATTATTTTTGTTGATATTTCGTGAAAATATCTCAGCGTATCAGTGATGCAGAAATATTGACATAATTTTTTGACATTGTACGAATGCATCGTTGCCAGAAGATCAATCGGATAGTGAAGGTGAAGGTGTCTCATTACCATCAGAAATTGAAGATAGCGATTCGTATATTCCTGCATCTCCTAAGTCAAGTTCTAGTGATTTTTCAGACATAGCGTTGACAATGACATACCGGCAACGAACTGTACGTGGCCGGTGGCGTTCGAAAGTGGTAGAACCATGTTGTATCAACGTGGTAGAGCCATGGTGTAACTATATTGTGATTGCAGCACGGATGGTTCGGCTCGACCGGGGTAGGATCACGCTCTCACAGAATACCACCGTAAAATAACAGCTTAACGCTGCTGTGTTTCGTATGGTGAGTGTAGAGAACTGGAGACCCATTTTACGTGAAAAGAGGCATTCCATCTCAGTCCTCAGGGGTGGCGGCGCATCTGCATTTTGATTCTTAATTGAGGATAAATGTAGATGTCTATGGGCCACAGAATCCACTTACCATCAGGTGGACTATGTGCTCGTTTGTCACCCTTATTCTATGAAAAATAAAATATCGTTTTATGGAAATACCTCCCAAAATAATATGATGTCACCAGGTGGAATATTTTGGAAATCAATATTTGAAAATGGCTCAGAGGTGGCAGGTCGCTGAGGAAGGCATAATGTTGTGACAGAACAGCCAGGACCTACCAGCTATGCACGAAGGCAGATTGGAGAGAAATTCATGACAGCCTGGATACTTTTGATAGATGATACAATTTTACGACACATAAAAAATTGTACTAAGGCCGAAGCAAATCGTCGGCTTGGTAATTCACGATATATTTCCCTAGAAGAACTTGAAAAATTCATTTCCATTCTGTATGTTAGAAGTTGTTTTGTAGCGAGAAATATATATCTGTAAATGATTTAAGGAGTAAAATATGGGACATTCCATATTTTTCTAAAACTATGCCTAGGGATAGATTTAAAGAAATCATAAAATATTTACGATTCGATGTGAGATCAGAACGCTCTACGAGAATTATAACAGATAAATTTGCGTTGATTTCTCAAGTACGGAATAGCTTTATTGACAACTGCATTTCGTGCTACAAACCGGGAGAAAATGTAACAATAGATGAACAGTTGTTTGCTACAAAAGTTCGATGCCCTTTTATCCAGTATATGGCTAATTAACCTGATAAATTTTGAATAAAATTTTGGCTCTGTGTTGATGTCAAATCGGAGTACTTGTTGAATGCTTACCCATATCTTGGGAAAGATGAAACTCTACCGCAAAGTCGTGGACAATACGTCGTCATGCATCTTATGGAACCATTTTTGAATAAAGGTAGATATTATGTGACTACATACCTTTTCCACATCTGTGTCTCTCACACAGAACTTGCTTTCAAAACGTACAACTTTGGCTGGTACAGTAAATAAAGGGAGAAGTGACATTGTAGGTTAAAAAATCTAACATACATTTTTTACCTACAATAGAAAAATAACTAAATTAAACATATTTAAATCCTATATGACACCAAAGCATTAAACACAGAAAATGACCAATGCTTATTGACTGTTTCACAAACAAAGAGAAGTTAGAATGTTTTGTTATTGAGAACATTAGATGATAGTGATCATATACACAGTGGCGATGTCAAGAAAAAAACCTGAAATGTTATGTTTTACAATTCAACTAAATATGGTGTTGACGTGGTCGATCAAATGGCGAGAAGATACAGCACAAAGGCACCTTCTAGAAGATGGCCGGTACAAGTATTTTATAATATTTTAGATTTATCTGCAATAAATATCTGAGTGTTGTACCAAAAAATAAACAACAAGATTATACGTAGAAGAGAATTTATTCTGCAATTGGCGGTTGAAGTGACTAGCATTTTAGAAAAATCCACTCGTGAAACCTCACTGCAACGTTCTATCGCCTCAGAAATGACAGTAGCTGAGTTGAGAAAGAGGCGTAATTGCTATCAAACTCATTGGAAAAATAAAACTAATAAAGTGTGCAACTTGTGCAAAAAACCACGACGACACTAAATCCGTGTATAGATTCCATAATGAAATCACTTAAAACGTATAGGTATTATATTATAATGAAAAGGCTTATTATATTTTCTGCCGACTTCCAAAAAGGAGCCGGTACTCAATTCGACTGTATGTTTTTTTTTTCGTTTTTTTTTATGTGTGTTACCTCAGAACTTTTTTCTGGGTGAACCGATTTCGATGATTCTTTTTTTATTTGAAAGCTGGTACTTCTCGTGTGGTCCCATATGAATTTGATCAAGGTCAGACCAATAGTTTTTAAGTTATTCTTAAATAACTTATATTGAAGTCGGCTGTACAAAATTTTTAATTTTAAATTATTTTGTTATGTTGAAAATACATTTTACAAATTCGTCTTTTTTATCTTACGAAAAAGGATAAACAAAATGCAACCCATAGATTAATGATAAGTCAACCATAGGAAACACAGCAGCGTTAAGCTCCTATTTTACACTGGTATTATGTGAGAGCGTGGTCCGTCCTCGGTCGAGCTGACCCATTCGTGCTACAACTATACCAGTAATATAGCTGCAGTATAGGTCTATCACGTATAAATTGAAAATTTCGAAGATGATCCCATAATAAAAAATATTCATGTTGACGGGCAGAACCATTCCCTAAGTTATTAAGTACTATTTTGTTACACCTTTAGTTAGTATATAAGACTGGGGAAAAAGTTTCTTCGTATATTGTATACAAATTCAAGACGCTTTTGTTTTAAAGTTTTATTATATGGGTCCATTCTGTTCGAAATTTGTTACCATCTTGTAGGTAGTGACATAATAAAAAATAAACGTTGCTGTAGAAATCTTGGGATTATGATTTAAAAAAATGCGACAAGTAGTTTTATTTGATATATTCAATACCAGAGATTTGAAGGAACATGGATTTAGACATCCCATTTATAATGGAAAAAAGAATTATGAACTTAAATATTAAAACCTCCAGAAAGCTTTCTTTTAAAGAACACAAGCAACAAAAGAAAATAATGACTAAAACTTTTAAACCAGTTTTAAGTACTCAAGCAAATACTGGATTTTTAGGAATGTTAGTGTGTATTGAAAGTCTCAAACAGATAACTAATCTTGTGATCTGGCGTTATCATGATGAAAGACCACTCCTTTTCTGATTATCAATGCCTCATTATTTATTGGTAGTAGAGATCCGAATCAATGGTTTTATCCGGCGGTAAAAACTCATGATAAACTTTCAATACCACCATACACACAGCATCATTTTATTTTGTGTTAATCCAGGTTTCGCTTTAGTCTGTAAACAAAACACATATCAATACAGAAAAAAATCACGTTTCTTGTATGGTCTTCATACGAGAAACCGGATTTTTTTGGGTCCTTTAATATTTAACTTGTTTTATTTTTATTTTATGTTGTTATAGCAGCAATATAAATACACATTCTGTGAAAATTCTACATATTACGGTTCATAAGATACAGCCTAGTGACAGACAGACGGACGGGACGATAGCGGAGACTTGGGTCCCGTTGATACTCATTGGGTACGGAACCCTAATAAATGGCAATTATGTCATTTAAGCAATACTGCAGAAATAAACATTAAATAATATAGAATTAGGTTATATTATAATAAGTTTAATATAATAAAAAAATATATAAAATATATATAATAAGTTTAATATAATAAAAAAATATATACAATAAATTCACGTATAAAAATCTCAGCCACGGGAAACTTTATTTTTGCATTCGCGGTAACACTGAATAGCGTCATTGATATTTTGTGACTTATTTATGGCTCGTGTTATTTTATGTTAAAATTTCGAAATTGTATGATACTTAATGATAGTATGTGATTCCAGTGTCTTTCTTATTTCCTGTAGTATTATTTTTACACAGTTTCAATACGTAAACTGGTATTTTACTTCGAATTATGATCAAAATTTAATAAAACATTCGGTACGTTCACCTCACATGTTGCCTGCAACGAGACTGGCTCGGGTACGCCGATTTCGGCGTAGTATTTGTTGCCGCATTTTACATGAGCGCCAGCGGTATCTAGTCAGAGCGCGCGATGACTTATCATTAATCTATGATGCAACCATACAAGCGCTCCTCCTGGCCGCCCGGCCAGTGCCCGTCGAGAAATCCTTGGCATATTGGTTGGACGTAAGTCGTTGTTTTTTTTTTAAATTGCAGAGCGCAAGGTAACTTTTTCATACCTGGATACCGTAGTGTAGTATACCGTGCTATAGAAGGAGGCCCTTTTGTAATAGTCTCTTTCTATACCGTGGACAACACGTTTTTTTTATAGGATAAGTGTGACAAACGGGCACACAGTCCACCTGATGGTAAGTGGTTGCTGCGGCCCATAGACATCTACATCTATCCTCTATTACAAATCAAAATGCAGATGCGTCGTCACCCGTGAGGACTAAGATGGAATGTCTCATTTACAGTAAAAAGGGCCTCCGGCCACCTGCACTCACCAAGCGAAACGCAGAGGTAAACCTCTACTTCACGCTGGTATTCTGTGAGATCGTGGTACCACCCCGGTTCGAGCCGGCCCATCCGTGCGACAGCAAAAGCCGCCACGTGGCTCTACCACTGTTTAAACGTCGTCGATAGAATATTTCATATGCTCTGAACAAATAATACAAAATAATTATTTGTTAATACAAAAACGACATCTTCATCCTATTTGCATCATATACAGCAAACATATTGATTTGCTTCTCAATTAGAGTTAGTATGTAAATTTATGTAGTGCTAATAAAGACGTACCAACCAGTAACCAGTCTAAAAAATTTAGTTTGAAGTACATAGGTACATATCTATGGAGTTATTTCATTTTATGGAAGAGGGGGCAAACGGGCATGCGACTCACCTGGTGTTAAGTGACGACAGCCGACCATGAACAACTGTAACAGCAGGGAAATTGCAGGTTTGTTGTCTTTAAATAATTAAAAATTAAAAATTTTGTACAACCGACTTCAATATAAATGATTAAAAATAACTCAAAAACTATTAGGCTGACCTTGATCAAATTTATATAGCTCTATATGTGATGTACCAGCTTTCAAATAAAAAAAGAATCGTCGAAATCAGTTCACTCAGAAAAAAGTTATGAGATAACACACATAAAAAAACCTACAATCGAATTGAGTTCCACCTCCTGTTTGAAGTTGGTAGAAAAGGAGTAAGCTCGTTTCTTGAAGGTCCATATCTCGTACTAGAGACGAATAGGGTCGTCTCGTGCGAGAACGACCACTTTCTCACAGAATAGCGTAAAATAGCTATAGAATGCCACTGTACTTAATACAGTCAGTGTAGAGACAACACATTTGCTTTTGATTCTTAATCGTGGACAGATTTAAATGTCTATGAGCCATAACATCTACTTGCTATCAGGTGGACTGTGTGCTCATTTATCAGTTTGTCATCATTACTTCTTTTTAAAGAAAACTGCAGTTAATTGGCAATTTCGAATCTTCGAGTTTCGCAGTCCGTACTTCAGCTAGGCCGCTACAAATACGATATATCGCTGATTTGAATGAATGGATGAGTAGATGAATAAATCATTTATTCGTCACTAATCAGAATTACTATAATACAAAGGACACCACAAATATGTCGACGTGATTCGATAATGGTGTACCTATTTGGGTTTGGTTGTTTTTTGGTTGTGGCACGAAGGGGTCGTTCGGCCGGGGTAGGACGACGCTCTCAAAGAATACCAGCGTAATATAGCAGCTTAATGCTGCTGTGTTTCGTATTGTGAGTGTACAGATCCTTTTTACTGGAAATGAGACATTCCATTTTAGTCCTCATTTTGATTCTCAATCGAGGATAAATATAGATGTCTATGGGCCACAGCATCCATTTACCATCAGGTGGACTGTCTGCTCGTGTATCACCCTATTCTATAAAAAAAGAACCTCTTGATTATTATCGTATGACATTTAAAAATATAAAAATTCTAGCCTAGTGCATTAAAGGAAAAAACAGTTTCAAAAAACTTGTTAAGAAAACCTTGATGCAACGACGTACGAGTACGTAAAAGTATAACATACTTTACTTTTGTTATTGTGGATAAAGGTGATTTCTTATATTTACGCAAACATTCACACACATTGAATAAAACTAATTTTACAG